TCCCTGCAGCAAACGGCCCTTGTTGGATTCCCAAACCTTCCTGCAGAGCTTGGTCCAGCTCCCCTCCTCCTGCAGTCCCGTGTGTGCTGGTGTGTGGAGTCTTTCTCTAGGCCTGAAGTGCAGGTGGTGGCGGACAGGCCATGAGCACCCTCGAAGAGCTGCTGTTTGGATTGCTCTGCAGAGGGAAAATGTGCCAAAGAAAAGGCTTGGAGAATCACACCGTTGGATCTGGATTCGTTCTTCTGGCATTCTGTGACCACTCCAACCTGCAGGGCCTGTGCTTCCTGGTGTTCCTGCTCATCTGCCTGGTGGTGCTGGCAGGGAACAGCCTGGTTGCCCTCCTCACTGTGCTGGACTCCAGCCTGCACAGCCCCACGGACTTCTTCCTGAGGAACTTGTCCTTCCTGCAGGTCTGCTACACCTCCGTCACTCTGCCAAAAATGCTGCTGTGTCTCCTGAGGGCAGATGGCAGGATCTCCTTCCCTGGCTGTGCTGCCCAGCTGTATTTCCTGGTTCTGCTGGGCAGCACCCAAAGCCTTCTCCTGGCTGCCATGGCCTACGAGTGCTGCATGGCCGTGTGCCACCCCCTGCCCTGTCCCCTGGCCATGAGCAGGGGGCTCTGCACCAGGCTGCTGCTGGGCTCCTGGGGGGCTGTGGCACCAGTGCAGGTAGGACAGACCTACCAGCTGTTCCCTTTGCCCTTCTGTGCATCCCATGACCTTCCTCACTTCTTTTGTGACGTCCCCCCACTGCTGGACCTGGCCTGTGCAGACACATTCTGGAACCAAGTGGGGCTGCACACCATCACCCTGGTTTTTATAATCCTTCCCTTCTGCTTAATAGTTCTGTCTTACACTCAAATCATCAGGGCAATTCTGAAAACCCCCTCAGTTCTGGGCAGGCACAAAGCCTTTTCCACCTGCTCCTCACACCTCGGAGTGTTGACACTCTTCTATGGCTCAGCCACAGTCATCTACTTAAAGGGACACTCGAGAGATTCTGGAGATCCTGACAAATACTCTGCCCTGTTTTGCACAATTGT